TCTGTGTGGTGGTAGGGAGTACCATAGTAGGGTTCTTGGCCAGGGGGGCCAGAGAGGCTATCTAGGATAAGGGGGTGCGGGTTGTCAAGTCTTTAAGCGACGGGACCAATGAGATGCCATTCCGTGACGGGAAAAGAAGGGGGGGTAAAGAGGAGGACGAAGAGAGCGAGGAGTGCCTTGCCAACCGCCATTTTGACTGTTCTCTAACGGCTGAACTAGCCACCAACTAACACTGTACAAGGCACAACGCCCAACCCCCCCCCCCCGCCGCCGCCGCCCCATGATGACCAGATCAGACCAGGCCATCTCTTGTCGATGTGACAGGAGGAGGCAACGAGACGAGACGGGGGGGCTTCATCACCGAATGGCAACCCGCTAGTGATGAAAGGGCTTGAGAAGGGGGTCAGCTGGAAGGGGGGGGGGCCTAGCACCTCACTCACCTTGGGGCTAGGGGCGTGGACGATGGTGCCAGCCGTTGCCAACCGTCTCACCGAGCTGCGGCCGATCTCTGGATGTTGAGGGGCCACGCCCGCCGTTTGTGGCCCTTTCATCATTCATTCATTCACGACTAACGAAAATGCTACCTTTTTTATTTTTACTTCAGATCTCTTCTTTTACTTGTTTGGTGAGGGTGGTGGATCAGGTGTCAGCAGTCGTCTTGTTGGTTCCACGGGCTGCTTCAGAACGAACGATCAAAAGAACCAAAACCAGCAACAGAATCAGGGAGAAGAGATCGATCACCGTCCTCCATTCTTCTTCCATATCCTTGTTCTGTTTCTTCTTCTTACCGCGACTGTGCTGACAGGGCAGCCTTGTGTAATCAACCTACCAGGACAAATCAGCACAATGAGACGGTGTAGCCAGAATTGGACCTTCTTTCGAGCACGCGCTGACGAAATCGATGCCACCTGGTCCACATTTTAATTTTTAATTAATTTTTGCAGCTTCGCACCCCTTCGAATCAGGCAAGAATTGCGACCCAACACGAGCAGCAAAATCATCTTTCGACACTGACGTCGAAGGCGGCCCCTAGTCACCACTGCCCCTCTCGTAGCCCAAGTCGCCGCCCCCCCCCCCCCAAAAAAAAGCCGCTTCTGCCCCCTCCCTTGGCTGGTAGTAGTGCTGTCTCGAGGGTTGACTTAGTCTGGATAATTTCTGGTGAGCTCATTACACGCACACACTTCTTTCGATGTTGGGACATGTGAGAGAGTGAGAGAGCCAGCCCTGCTCTGCCTTTGCCAAGCCTGCCCTGTTCTTGTAGGCCCCTCCCAAAAACATCAAGGTTGATCGACCAGAAGCCCAGGTGAGACACACCAAAAAGTTGGCGGCGGGTCGCCCGCCCAGCCGGCTTTTTTGCCCATTACACTACTAGGGACAAGCCTGGTGCAACCACTACTGAAAAACCTCTCACCACGCCGTCTCATACGCTTTTTCGGTCGGTGCATGCATGACCACCAAACCACACCCGCCCCCCTCCCCTTCCAAACATGCATTTCTTTTGATATTGGCTTTTGCCCACTGATTTGCTCTCATGATCGTTGGGGTGGAAATTATCGCCTTTGCATCACTGGCCAATCGTAACATCCATCACATGTCTCTTGTCTCTTTTTTTTTCCTTCCTTTCTTACTCTTCCCCCCTCTCTTCTTTTTCCTCTAGGCACCCTGCGTCCGAATTACACACCTTCTCTCTCCCCCTCAAACAAATGGATTATTACAGGCGCCAATGTATGTAGTTTTGTCAAAAGCTGACGTTCATTTGGGACTCACTCTCCCCCTTTCCCCCCAAATCGGCGACTTACCCAAAGCGGTCTGCGCCAGCCTGTGTTATTTGTTGATGGTGGTCGGCGATCAGTCTGACTTTGATGACCGGCTTGTGGACACTGGGGCTGAACAGATGATGAGTCTACCACCTCCAGTTGATGTGATTGTCGAGCCGAGCACATCACTTTTTTCCTTAGTGCACTCACTTAATCTTCTCGGTTTCTTTTCTTTTTCCGTCGGATGCTCTTTAATCAAAACTGGGGGATTAAAACCTCAAACCCGCCTCCCGCCTCAATTCCCCCCCCCCCTCTCCCCCAGAATGGATGAGGAGGGGGGAAGACCAGAAGAAAGGTAAAAAGAAAAGAAGAAAAAAAAGCCGGACTTGCTTCCTTCCCGCACTTGGCAGGTTGTTGTCAAGCGGCAGGGAGGGTGGAGGAGAGGGGGGTGGTGTGTGCTCGTCTTGGTGAAGAAAGAAAAAAAGGTCCCCTAAAATGGTCTCACCACGTGGGAAGTCGAGACGAAGGATCCCAAGGCACAGCGGAACCAATGTCTCAAAGGAGGAAATGTCGTGCAAGGGGGGGGGGGGGTTACCTCTTTTGCTCGCCTGCGCACGCGGCTGGCTGTGTTGACAGCCGTGACACTTTTGCCCGGTTTACCGTTTCTTCTACTACCACCTTGCAGCAAGTTTCTTTTTTACCTATTGCGGCACAGAATCTTACTTGCCTATGTCATGTCATGTCATGTCATGCCTCGTGTTGGCTCCACTTGAACCAGAGGAAAGCTGTGGTAGTGAGGAGAGGGAGGGGGAAAAGCAAGTAAAAAGATTACCTGCAGGGTGCTGGTTTGGATGTACTATTTCATGGTATATACTATGTACTATTAGTGCGTATATGCAGAGTCTGTCAGCATTTGTACTGTGTCTTTTTTTTTTTTTCTTCAAAAAATGGCAAGACCTGGGACGGGAAAAGGAGAGGGGGTTGCTTGCGTCCTTTTGGGTGGGTGAACATACTATGGTTTGTTGTTTTGTCACCTGGCTGCTCACGATATCATCATTTATTTAATCAGACGGTCCAATCAGAGGCCTGTGTTAGACCAAGCTTTTGGGGCAAACACATTGCACACAGCGTGGGGGTGGGCACTGGGCTAGGCCAGTAAAAAAGAGCAAGAGGTCGGCGATCGTCGCCAGATCACCGGACCCTGCACTACATTACAATGGTATACTTGACGACATCACCACCTGGGAGAGGGTGGCACCCCGTACAGAAGCGGCCCAGTAACATGCAGTCACACACATACACACACATACACACACATACACACACATACACACACACACACACACACACACACACAACTACAGAAAGGTGGAGGTGTCACTCGTTCCTTAGCAGCTCTCTCTATTACCCCCTCGTCCACCCCTCCCCCGGCCAACTTCTTTGACTGAGGGGTGGAAAAACAGAAAAAGAACAAGAAAAAAGGATAAAAATAAAGAATAAATTGAGAAAAGAGTTCACAAGACAGAATGATGCAGTCAGTTGGCCTGGCCTGGCCTGGCACGGCCTGGTCTGCTGCCTCGCATCCCTGCCCGGCCGCCGTTGAGCGGGAGGATTCAACCCCCAGCGGGCAGCAGCCCAGACTGCAGACCAGGCAAATCTCGAGAATCAGACGCTGGACACGTGGGAAATCTGGTGGGATGCTACCCTCTCACTCTCACCCTCTCACCCTCTCACCCTCAAGGCACTTTTCGATTCTCTTCCTCTCCCCTTCGCGCGTCTCCTTCCCCCCTGCCTGCTTTCGGTTCTGCTGCAGTCATACGGTAGCGGGTGACAAGGTCCCTTTGTACTATACCAAGGACATGGTAGCTAAACCCCAAGGGTTGGGTTGTGTGAGTGGGCATGTGTGAGAGAGCATGCATGGTGAGCTGCAACCCACCTGCAGTGTGCGTTGCAAGCTGCGGCACGGACAGGACAAAAACCCACACCTACATAATCCGTCTTGCGGTTCTGTGAGTACATAGTACTATGCACGTCGGCTAGCTCGCCACCCACAGCAACAAGGGGGTGGGAGGGGGGGACCAGTCAAGCTCTCCTGTCCCCTGCTAGTCACCACCAAAACATGCGTCTAAATCTTGATCATCATCAACGATGCTGCGCCGTGCGCTTGTTCCCCCCGGTGGCCGGGTTCGGCCGTCGCTAATACAACCTTCCCCCCTCCCCGTCCTCTTTTATTCTTCTCCAGGGATTTGGATGATGCAGTGCAGAGCCAATCAAGAGCTCAAAGTCCCATGTGTATGCGCATGAAGAAGAAAAAAGAAGGAGAAGCATAAAAAAAAAAAAGGACAAATGATGGGAAATGAATAGTCATCATTATCATCATCATCATCATCAAGGACAAATCATCGCAACGCCCGCTTCGGAATTCAGCCTCGCTGCAACCCTTGGATTCGATGAATTTGATTTGCTTGGAAGTGTAGTAGCATGACTGACGCCATTTCAGAACAAGGATCAAACGAGAAGAGAAAGAAACAAAAAAGAAAAAAAAAACCCCTCAGAGAGCCCTCCCTGCGGGCTTCGAGAAGCGCGCTTGTAATACCACAAGCGATACTACCCTCCTGCCTTGCTGCAACCCAGGTTTCATACATGAAGATAGGTTACATGCTGGTGGCTCGCGAAGGACCCGACGGTGGGGGAAGGGAGGGCTGAGGAAGCGAAGCGAAGGGAAGAGGGGGGGGGGTGGGTGGGAAAGGAGCGGGGTGGACGCGGTTACGACGGAGTCGGGTCCGAGGGTGTGGAAATGGCCGAACCCACAGTCCACATGGCTTTTTGGGAAGGATCAAACTTTACACACACTCACATATACTCATACTCACTTATTCCGACCGAGTCCGTGATCTCCAGGGTCGGGATAAGGACTTTACACGGAGGCACGGTATTCCGTGCGGGAATCCGGACAGCAAGATGGCTCTCTGCGCCGACGAAGTGGTGTCCAAATGTGCGAGAACAGAAACGAAGTGGGATTTTGGTCATTTGATTTTTGTTTGTAAAAATCATTCCTTGTAGTCTGTCCCAATTCCGCAGGCCAAAGCTTAGTTACCTACCCACTTCAGATGGTGGTCGAGAGCTTCGCCTGGGCTGTGGTCATATCATCAGAAGAGAGTGTGATGCTCGTGTAAGACGCAAACTCAAAGCTTATCTTGTCACGAGATGATTCTGCAGTACGAACGGAGCGGTGGGATAAGTGTGATTTTTGCCCTTCATGGTGGCAAAGGTGATTTCATAGCTAATTAAGTACAGCATCAAAATGTTCCTTCATCGTCCCGAGAAGCAAGCCTGAAAATTTGCGAAGAGAATCTTTCTGTTGATGCCACCACGCTCCAGAACCAATTCAATCGTACTGCCAAACTTTGTCACAAACATGGGAGCAACCCAACTCCTTTTTCTCGGTACTCCGTCTCTTGGAAGACTCATGTTTCAGTCTAGGTAAACTTCGAACTCTCGCGCCGAGGGTGGTCCAAGTGAGGGAGCTGGATGGAAAAAAATAATGGATCTTGAAAGACCCGTGAAATTGCACGCCCAAGATAATACAAGATAGAAAAAAATATGAACAAAATAACAACCATAAATCAGAACAAGCCGTGGCCTTCATGATCCGCGCCGCCCGTCCCTCATGTTATGATACCCTATACAGTTCCATCCTTTTCGACAACACAAGGGCGAAGCGGACGGAGAGAGGAAAAACGAGGGGAAAAGTCCAGAGCAGGGTGGCGGTCGTTTATATAAACATGTTCCCATAGAATCAAAGTTGAAGCTGTGGGAAGGTGAAGTGTCGTCTCGGGAGCTATTTCTTCGGCCAACCGTGGTATCTTGAATTCCAAATGCAGACAAATTTGTGCAATATATCATTTAACTCTTTCCTCTCTTTTTTTTTCGTCTTTTTTTCTTTTTCTGTCTTTCTTCAATTGCTGCTGGTCGACCCTTGCCTCTTCGTCTTGCACTTCTGGTGGAGCAGGTGTCCATTTCGTGCTGTGGTCCTGGTGAACTCGGCACCACAATCTGGGCAGGTGGCCTTGGCAGCCTGGCCAGACTTCTCGCGCTGATGCCGCAGAAGGTTGCTGAATGTTGAGAACTGGCGCCCGTTGCACCCGTGCTCCCAGCACTGGGGCTTAGGCCTGCTCTGAACAACGCGGACAGCCGAGGGTCCATCAGCGTGGTGGTGTGGTGCGCTGCCGGGCTGCATTATGGAAGGCATGGAGTACATCATGGGTGGCTCGTGCGACATAGGTCTATCGTTGATCGTCAGCTGCCTGGACTCTCTCTCTTCGCAAAAAGGATTTCTACTGCGACACAAACTTACCCGTAATGCGACGAGACGCTGGAGCTCGAGGAGGGGGTGTATGGGTACTCTGGCAAATACGCCGGTGGCTGATAAGGGCTAGGGAAGACAGTCGAGGTGGAAGACGGCAGAGGCGGCGAGTGAAGCGGCAGAGAGTTGGATGATGGCAGAGGGGGCGAGTAAGGAGGCAGCACCAGCTGTGGCGCGAGTGTCGTGGGCTCGGTGAGCAGGGAGAGATCGGAGGGAGCGGTGGTATAGACGGGCATGCTGGGCAGGCTGCTGGTGCCGGTTGTGTAGTCACCGTTGGCCGAGTGAGGTGGTGATGCCATGTCGTAGTGACCGCCTTGTGAAGAGTGGCTCTCTGCCCTGCGCAGACGTGCTGACAACTTGGAGTCGCGGCGGACCTGGTCTCGCTGCCTCTTGAGCTCACGCTGCTCCGGTGCCATCCTGGGCGGGCTGTTGGTCATGGAGCGCTGTTGGGGAGGAGGGCTGAGGCTGGAATCCGATGCGTAAGGGCCAAGCTCCTGGCCAGGGAAAGTGTTGTGAGTGGGCTCGAGGACGACATCTGCTTTGGTGATTAGACACACACACACACAACGTTGAAAAAAATGGCACGCAGAGACACGGCCAGGCTGCCTGTGAATTTACATACCAGGCCAGGCAAAGGAAGTTCGGCCACCCATGTTGAAGTGGTTGAAACCCGGGTCGTATTGGAGAGCAGCAGTACTCATAGTTGCTGATTTTGAGGATTTGTATCCTGTGAGGAGTGGTATGACAACAGCGTGGATAAGAGAGAACAGTGGATGGAAGGCAGTGATGCTCCGAGAGTGTTGTTACTCGTAAGTGTGAGTATGTGTGTGTATACAAGTGAGAATAGGTTGATGTGTAAAATGCCACTCGTCGTCGTATAGAAGACAGACTATATATATGACTGGTGGCTTGAGTTCAAGAAGTTGGAAGTTGATGGACCAGAAGGTGAGGTCAGAGTTTTGGGAAAGAAGAGGAGTGCGCGTTGATATATGTTGTAGCTGAAGAGTCGAGCGCAGGCGAGGAGGGGTGTGTTGCTTCTAGTTGAGAGGTACCTATGTACCACCAACAGAAGGGGGGGGGGATACCCTTGTCGCTGGTCTATCTGTTGGTACGATGTACTCTGGACCCACCACCTTCTCAACCCTCGCCAGGTATCTATCTGGGGTCTTTCTGGGCTGGTCCACACCTAGATTCTAATTCGAACGGTCTGGTCCGGGGGTAGGTCGAGGGGGTGATTTGTGTAAGGGCAAAAGCAGATGAAAGAGGAAACAAGCGACAAGAAGATCAACAACCAACTCAAGAGAAATGACAAAAAAAGAAAAGAAAGAGAAAAAAAATTAAAGACTGGGGGATTGGTAACTGGGAAAGACGACAGACGTTGGGGAGTGCTGAGCTGAGAGCTGTGGCTCGCACCATGATCTGTTCCCCCGTCGACCCTCTCCTCTGCTGGCGTGTCGAATCCATCGACACTGATTTTCTTCTTCTTTTTCTTCCTCTTCTTGTCTCTTTCTTTCTTTTTTTTTTTTTTTTTTTTTTTTTTTGCGTTTTAGTCCACTGTAAGCACGAGCAAGAATGAGAGCGAACGACTGGCTGAGTGACTGAAAGTGGTGACAAGAATAGTAGCAAGATCGTGGAGCAGAGGCGATCCAGGTTGGTGCTCAGCTAGTTTAGGCTCCCGAAACATCGATAGGGTATGGGGAAAAGGTAAAATTGAACAAGCAAGGCCTGCGGGATGGCTATGGCTCCGGGCTAGAGAGGAGAGTGAGCGCTCGATATCTCAGCCTCAGCAGAGAAAGAAGGAGGGGGGAAAAAGGTACCCCCTTCTCAGAAGCACCAGCACTACTAGAGAGATACTATGGTAGCTAAGCGCAGCGGCCGCACACCCTCAGTGGCAGCGAGAAGCTAGCGAGGGCCTAGAGACGAGATGATGGGCAAACTGGGGAGGTACCAAAGTACACCCAGCAAAGTCCGTACCCCATGTACCTCTCATGCCTTGCACAGTGTCGCATGGCAGTAAGCACAGGGAAAATCCCTGTTCATACACCAAGTACCAGCCCCAGGGAGTCCATGTCCCACAGTACAAGGTACGTACCTTGGGCGGAAAGGCATCTATCTGCCTTGATAGCAAAGGAACGGGCAACGGCAAGGCACTCTGCCGGGACGGGGGCCTGTGGACTTCAACAGGGAACAGAGGCGAGGAAGCGATGACAAGGGCTTAGGGGCCAGGGGAAAGATGGCGCCTGAGTTTGTACAGCCAGGCAGACAGGCAGGGGACCGGCCGCCGTCCGCCTCTCTGGATCTACAGGAGCCTACGACGGGAGGACTGTAGAGTTGAGAAGAGGTGACTTGAAAGCAAGTACGGACAAGCGGAAAAATTACTCTTGATCACAGTCCTTCACGGCCCTGCCGTCCACCGCTGTTGCCGACCTGTGCTGTCTGTAGGGTACAGTTGTGAAGTTTGTTGGCAGCAAGAAGTGTGGACCAGCATGTCCCCTCCCCACTCACCAGGATGAGGACAAAAGGACACTGGGCCGCGGTGGGAAACTAGGACCAGGGCTCAATTGCAGAACCCAGGGCTCAGGTGCTGGTGGGTACACTGCTCTTTTGCTTCTGTTCTGCTGCTGGAGATCCAGGGATGCAGCCAGGGCTCCGTAGCCGGTTGGTGCAGGCATGGGACTGAATTGGGTGTGAGTACCCATACGATTAGTACAAGGTGCTACCATACTTACTATGGTTATATGCATGTTGTAGTACTTACGGCACCAACAGGACTCTGGACTTAAGGACTTCGGCATGAGCTGGCACCCACCCACCCGGCGACAGTAGTCCGTACACCTACTACTGCTGCTGCTGCTGCTGGCTGCCATGCCAGTAGCGAAAGAGGAGTGGGAATTACGTGTTATGCGCTGTACGAGGAAGTCCAGTGTGGACGAAGCGCGAGAATTGATTCTCAGGGCCCACAACCTAGACACAGATCCTGTGCTATGATGTACCCCATCGCAGACGGTATTGCCATGTCCGGTCCGCCTTTTCTGCGCTGATTTCTGGAGAGAGCACCAGCCGGAAGGCGGAGGATTTACGCCGCTGCTTGTGCTTAGTTGCTGGCACAAGCGCAGCAAAAAGGGACAGGGCCAGACATTGGCGGATGACTGTGCCGCCATGGCAGTGGGGGGATGGTCCAAAGTCGAGCCGAGTCGAGCCGAGTCGCTCCGCTCCGCTAAGGACAGGTGACTGAACTGATCGAACTGAACTGGAATTCAATGAACAAATGACTAGCTGGCTGAGATTGGGCCCTTTCGAGGGTGATGTCATGTGTGTAAAGACAACAAGCAGGCTCTCGAGACGAAGCTTCACATTGGACTTCGATGGGGCCAGAAATGAATGGGTGGGATGGATGGACCCCTGCTTCATCTCTGGGCCAGTGTCGTCTTCGCGAGAGGGAAAGTACTGCGCAGCTCATCATCGATTGCCTGGGTACCAGCTGCCTGTGCGACCCTGGCGCTAATCCAGCAAGCGAAAGGCAATGCCAACTGACTGAGATCATAGGACCCGTCCCAAGCCTAACGCAGCTCTCGTGTGATCACAGACAAAGTCTTCGGGACCGACTGCTGAGAGTTCAAAAATAGGTCCAGGAAAGAACGGAAGAGAGGGAAGCTATGAGGGTAAATCGGGTCAATTGTAGGAACAAACCATGATGGACACCAGGCATCGAAATTTCCCACAGTCTGTTTGGTTGTTCGTTGAAACCGTTGCACGGGCAATGGGGCTGGGAGGGTTCCATAGGACTAGGCAGTTACTATACAGTATTATGGTACCACAATTCTCTTACTGCCAAAAAAAATAAAATAACAGCAGGGAAGTGGCTGTGGGGAAGGCTGGGAAGGACCCAAGTACAGCACCGCTAAGGCGATGCCCCGTAACTCATCATGTCCCTGTTCACCTCGCTATTCACTGTCTGGTACTAGTGTATCCCTCTCGTGTCGCCTAGTCGGTACTTACCGCCCAGGTGGGACACAAACATCCGCCCGCGCCTGCTCCTTCGCCGGCAGTCACTCTACTACCCAGAAATACCGTTACTTTCACATAGCTCTATAGTCTACGGGACTAATAGACGCCGTGGACCAGGATAGTGGGGATGCATGAAATATGACACTCAAGAGATGCCTACTATATCCTCGCGACCAATGATGGCAGTGATCTCAGTTTGAGGGGATATACATCTGAAAAATCATGGCTTAGGCTGATTTGCGGCCCTGGTGGACATCTCGTGATACGTACCACGGAAACCTGAGCGACCGCGGCACCAAAACACAAAGAAAAAGAAAGAAAATGGCTTGTTAGTATTACGGACAGTCTCGTTGCCTGTCTCTGCGCGTTGAGGTTGAGAATGTTGGACTGTGAAATGAAAAGGGTCAGACACTCAACACGGTACTCAAAAACAATACTACAATACAACGTATACAATCCCATGATATTAACCCACCTGACTATGCCCAAAACAGATATTGTATCGACACATTCTGGCCCCTGCCTACCACCACCACCACCACCACCTAGCAGAATAGAATGTAGTACTGGACGTGTTTCCTACATGTGGCGGTGTCATCACATAGTAAAAAAAGCTGAGACATGGGATTAAACTGCCTACAAGAAGGGGGGCGGGGTCGCAATCCTCACTACGACATTCTATACCGAGCAAACCGCGTATCTGTGTCAAGGGTGAGAGACAACACGATTTGCTTCAGGTACAGTGGGTGTGCAGCATCCACGTGGATGTACAAGGCAAGCATCCACACAGGTCAGGGAAGAGGAGGTTTCCTTTTTTGAACAGGATCATGATCTTATCAATGACCAGATGTTCCGTCGAGCCCTAATCGGTGCATAGGGTGTATGAACAAATCCAGGCGACGATCTTCTGCGAGGCTCAAACAGGTTGGGCAGGTGGATACTAGAATAGTCTCAATCCGGACGAGAGCGTGCTGCGTCGCCTCGATATTGCGGGAGGAGCCACCTGAGGATGACCTCTCGGCATTTAATGTTCTAATCTAAGATGTGAGCAACAACGATTCGCATCCCGTTGTTCTTCTTTGTTCCCTTTCCCGCTTTGACCCCCCCGTCCCTAGGTCTCTCTCGTGGGCTCTCGTCCAGCTGTCGGTCCCGAGCTTACAGCGACGTCGCATTCCGCATGGAAGCCCACTCACCCGGTCTGAGAACGTACCTGCTATGATTACGTGCCCTGCTTTCTACAACGTTCCAGGTTAAGCCACGTGGTGGGTGAGATGGATATTGCGGTGAAGTAGAGAGACTTTCTCAATTAGAAGCAAAGGCAAGGATCTGTTGTCGACAAAAAAAAATGGGTGAGAAATGAGTAGAATGGCACATATCATACGCCGTGCCGTACCAACAATTGCTTGTTAGACAGGTTGAGATGATGAAACCCTACTGTGTGATCAGGCACCATCTACAGACATGGTCAATTGATTTCATAATCGATCCATGTCCAGAGCGGACGGGCCTTCTGAAAAAGGACAGGGGACGTCTTTCCCAAGCAATTTGAATCTTTGTAGATAGGATAGGTCGCCCCCGCCGTTTTGAGAGTTTGGGGGGGGGTAGGGGAAGTGGTTGTGGAAGGTGGTTGGGTGCGGTCCTTCCTCCTAAGCGCAAGGGGCTGGCAATGGTGGTAACTTTCAAAATGCCCTTTTGAGACTGGGGCTGTATTGCACCACCACCAATTTTGCGAGCACTCCCACATTTTGGTCACTGATCGCATAACTGCCTCATTTCCTCACAACTCACCGGGTTCCCATCCTTCTCGTCAGAGGTTGAGATCTCATGCACCCCTTGTGGTTCACATCACATTTATCGAATTGTCTGGGCCATGACTTCGAATCGCATCTCGTTCTGAGGAGTGACTTCGTTCATACCAGAGGCAGGGCGTGTTAGGCGCGATGCATCCTGGCAGTCCCATGTCACCACCACGATCGTCGTTCTCAAGTCATGCACACGCCAGCACTAAGAACTGGAATCAGCATCATCGTCATGTCACTAGCACCAACATCGCCACAAACAGCGCCACTATCACTCTCAGCCTCGAGTTGTCTCAGTCTGACGGCCCCAGTGGTGGGACCCCAGAAGCCGCCTCTAGCTACTACTACTGGGCCTGCCAAAGGTCGCTGTGCCGTGAATCCGCTTTGCAAAGGACGCCCTGGGCCCCATACAGCGCAGGCTCTTGGCTGTACCCCTTGTTCAGGTCGCCGCCTGATCTTTACCTCAAAATTAAAGCGTACCATGGAAATATCAGCATACCCTGATCGCTTCAAGGGTCCCCGACTCGACTGCCGGGCCCGAGTCTCCTACGGCACCGATGTTCTCGTCCGAGTGTATGCACTCTAATACTACAATGCATAACACGCCTGGGCAGCTCACCTCATGGGGCACCTAGAGACGTGCCCACCACCGCAATTCCCGGTCTGCCGGTACCGAGGTCTCACCACGAGCTGGTCTTCAGGGTGCAACATCTAGGAGAGAGGTCTTTGTTTATCACGGTATATCGGCAATTACCAGGAGAAGCCCTAGCATCTAGCTCCATCAGCAAGCTCGACACCTAAATGCCCATCATCTCGTCACTGATCCGCGGGATACCTACTTTTTTGGTCCTCCACAACCAACAGCCCTTCAATCCCTGTCTTCCACACAGAGCCGCGACTTGTGCACCCAGCGAGACCTCGCAGACCATTACCAGGCCGTTGTGCTGGGGCGCCTGACCTGCAGCTGAGATGAAACAAGCGGGGCACATTTCCCAACCAGTACGGTGGTTGGGTGCCTGCATAGCCAACCAGGGCACATTGGAGCCCGTGTGTCTGTTCCCCATTCTCTCGCAAGATGAGTTGACTGGGGGGCGCTGGGGCTTTCTCATCTTGATCCCCTACTAAGGCATCTCCGCGTGGGAGCGATTAGGTCCGCTCCCGTGTGGCATCTGTTCCTTGCCGTCGACCTGCTGCCGGAGATTCCCCAACTATTCTCGTCCTTTGTGGCACCTTCGAACGGCACCAAGCTCGAGTTCACCATGGTGTTGTTATTATTGGTAAAGACGGCGGCGCCATCGACGCAAGATGCGGGCGTACGTGTGCGGGAGAGTGTGAGACTGAGAGCGCTAGGCTGCTTCTGGAAGATCACATGCGGTCACAGCACTGTTGGAACACTACAGTGGTACCTAAGGAGATTAGGGGACACTCCCCTAGACGTCATTTTGCCGCTCCTCAACGGTCCCTTTAACGCAATCTGAAAAGGGACTTGCCCTGAGCAGCACCAACATTTGTGCCCTGCGAAGTGGTAACGAGAATGGACCTGGCGGTGTGGGTCTTTTCCTCTGTCATTACTCGGACACAAAATTCAAGGAGAGACCTTCTGACTCTTTTCTGGCCGGCCAGGTTCGCACCATCAGAGGCCCTTGCTAGCACGGGGTACAAAAAAAAACAACAAAAAAGCCAGATCGGCCATGGCTAACGCGCCTCATCGAACCACTTCGACATCATCGTCGCAAAGGATGCTCAGGCAGCTGTGAGGGGAAAATGAGTGATAGCCAGCGTCGTGCTGACCGGGATGTGAAAACACAACTGGGAAGTAAGAGAGGCATACGATTGACCTGCACGGGTGACCATGGTTGTATCAGTCGACATGGCGACAACCGGACGATAGCCAAAGCACTCATTGTCATTCAGTGTAATGCTGCCATTGGGTGCGGAAAATACGGACAGCCCCTCCGGCTTCCCAGGGTAACCAGGGGACCACGAGGCGGTCCTCTCCACTTCTAATGCTAGGTACGGCGCATTATGGTCCGCGGAACGATACTGCAGCGAGTACCGGAGCACCTGCTGCGTGTACTATGGTATTATGTACAGTGGGCGCGCCGTCTGATTCGACACCGCAGGCTCGCTCCCCATGCCTCGGGCCCTACGCATGCTGTCATCGAGATACCCTGGCCTTCGCAAAATGTACCCTGTTGTCCTTCTCTTTTGATGAGATTGCGCGAGGCGGCCGTCCTGGCACACCCCCCCTCTCCCTTCCCTTTTGAGGATGCGATATGCGCTAGCTCATTTCGAGAACGCCCTGTTCATCAGTGGCTGTCGCTGGGCACCGGGCCAAGCACCAGCTCTGCCGCCTGCTCCGCACATGGTACAAGTTTCCCATCCCATTCAGTTCGCGAGCCGGACCCGAAGACTCTCGAGTCGATGCGGGTCGTCCGAGCGGAATCATCAGATTGCGGGTACTGTACGGCAAGCCTCATTTCAAGCACCCAGGCACCCTGGAATTTTGCCCGAAAGCTGGCAGCCTAATGCCACCCACAATGGCTCACAACTCAGCTTGGTGTGGCTGATCACTAGATGCCAACCTGCATCGGACCTCAAGATGCGAGACAGTGTCGTATTGCGTCAAGATGCACATGCGCCTACCTCGTGGGACCTACAGCAGTGCTGCAGCGCGCTGCAGCTTGATCTCCAGGAGGGGCCCTGAGTGTCGTCGCATCACACCCACCAGCGCTACCCAGGAGGCAGATTTGAAAATCTGGAGAGACTGGGGGGAGGAGCAGGGGTCTGCCGAGTCTCGTCGACACAGTGTTCCCGAGGGGCTGGACAAGGGCTTGACCAGGGCTGACGGAGGATGAAGCGACCCTGCCGACATCCCGCCAAAACTTGCAACAAGCGGTTTGATAGACAAACCTTGTTCGTCGCACGTCTGAACGACGATGGCCAGGCCAGGAATATGAGAGTCGTCCACGCGGCTGCGGCAATTCCTTCAAGGGAAACAGCCCTTTCAGTGTAGTTGCATCGAGGGCACCACTATGCTTCGAGAACTTTGTGATGATGGCTTCGATTCCTTCCCCTGTGGTGGCTTACATCGGCCATTCCTGTCCCGCCTTTCGCTACCTCCACTCTCTCTGTCTCTCTCACCTATCGGCTGGCGGTCTCTCCGGTGCGTTACTCTTGAACGTGCTCTGTCGGCTTCAAGATTCCATTCGCCCTAGGAGTCTCCCCTGTTCAAGCCCTAGGCAGTTGGTCCTCTCACCTCACCTCACCTAATCCCGCTGGCGTGTGCTTCTCACGGTGTATGACAATGCTATCAGGTCTGCTTCAGTAGCGCTGAGCACGTAATGAAGCGCAGGTTCCCAATTGGCTTTGAGTCCAAACCTATAATCGACAGCGCGGGAGAGGGGCAGTGGGGGCTCCATTAGAAGTTTCGGATGTCCAGGACCAGGTCGCAATGGTGAGACCCCTGCATTGCTTGCTGGACGCTGCAGCGATCCCTGCTGTCAGTCTACACTACCAAACCAGCCAGCCAGTTAACCTCACAGCGGCAAGGCTGGCGCAGAAGACAGCCCGGCCTGACCCAGCTGCACCGCGCTTGTTCTGCACACCAGCATCAGCCGATCTAGCCGCGCAACCGTCACACACACAGCCTTTGCAGTGCTACTAAGTTCCAAGGCACACACACACATACACAGAGAGAGAGAACTACACCTACCTAACAACGTCCTACGGGCACTATCTTTAGACCAGCCCTCCACATCGCAGATGGACTAAGAGCTACTACGGCATGATCGCCGTTCTCATTGCATCATGTCGATATACCGTGGAGGGTTGCCCCTCGTCAGAGATGCCGTGTTGGCTGATTTGATCCCATCAGAACGATACAGCAGGCATGGTAGAGAGATTGGTAGTAAAAACCCTGTTGCTTGTCCGCAACATGCGTCTCTTGAGAACTGCAGGGTGCTTACTACTATATACCACCATAGTATGCCAGTGGTGGGGACCGATGTTTTCCGAAAGGCGCCCCTTTGCCCTGAACAATTTATCTGCCGGGATCGCGCTGCGGGCCGGGGCGCTGTCGAGTAACTCCAACATGGGGACCCTCTGATGCCCACCAAGCGAAATAGACTCCAGCCGGGGACCATTGGCGATCATGGCGCGCGGCAGCAAGCGGGGACTTCACGAGTCGCGTACGGACACCGCTGCGGACACTAGTGGAACGATCTCCCAGAGCGAGAACCGACATTGGCTCAAGTCCGGTGACCCGCAAGCTGCAACGGCCTTGACTGCCAGGACTACTATAATGGGTACCACTAGTACAGGACCCGTGGTACTACTGCTGCCACTACTACCAACATTACTACTACTTGCGTATTAGGCACCTCTACGGGAAACTGACAGCTCATGCTATTCTTAGCATCGGCCAGACTTGCACGGGCTCGACAAACCCGCCAGAGTTCTGACCGGATCTGGTTCGTAGAGAAAACGAGATTGAACCAACAACCAGGAACGGAACATCTCAAGATCAACTGGTCCCCGGTATGACAAGGTACTATAAAGATTATGGTGGTCAGCCCGTAATTTGTTGTGCGTCGTTGGGTGCAAGCGATAACCGGGACAGACACCTTTGGCCATTCGTGGAAGCATGCCGAGCAGCAGGTTGTTGAGTGTCGTTATTGTTGTTGTTGTTGTTGTTGGGAGGGGGGGGGGGCGCAGAGAGAGGTGTGTGTGTGTATGTGTGCGTATGTGTCTTTGTGCGTGCCTCAATGGCAGCGACAGTGTGGCTTAGCACAGCGACACAAGAGTTGTGCGCTTACGATGACTTCGCTTTCCAGCCTGTCAGGCTACACAGCCGTTCCGCAGCGTGGCACAATGCTTATGCCCCTACGTTTTTGTGTAACCAAGAGGCTTACAGTGTATGCCCTAGCCGCGGGTGGTGTACGGGCTGTGGACGAGACGGCGTCGCACTTTGGTCCATTTTGCCCTCCGCACAGGTCCCAGAACGGCAAATGCCTCGTCCACCACCGTGCTATCGCGAATTGGGATGCTGATCTTATTAGCTAGCGCACGATACAGTCCAGCTCGGCCCACACTGAGTCTATTTTGCTCGTCCTGTGTGGGGACGACGAAGAGGCAGAGCTCGTTGTCCAACGGAAGACCCTTCTCGTCCTCGCAACTGGAAGCGATTGAGTGTGTGCACTATGGTAATGACAATATGGTCATGTACTATGTGGTACCTACCTGAAGAGCTGGTTTATGTACAGTACTTTCTAAAAGAGTGGACAACGCCAGTCTGGTCTGGGATGCAGGACAGTGTCGCATACCAATTGGGTCTGGGACGAGAACCCCCCCCCCCCTCTTACCATGCTACCATAGTACTTTGGTACGACACAGAGAGACCCAGAAAAGCCAGGCACGCCAGTCAATCACAGACACCCTGCGACGCGAAAGAGTTCTATGGGTCCATACTGCACGGGCCCAGACCAGGGAGCAAGAAAGACGAGCAAAAAAAATTGTTAGTGTCACCGACAAGGCGTCACAAACAGCGCCGAGCGCTGCGCAACGCCCTCGCACAACCAGGCGAAGTTTGGCGACGCAGCCGCCACTTTCTGCTGGCACACAAGGGCAGCACCGGCGACGTGGTAACGCACAGTTGCGGTGACGATGCATGCGATAGCAACACGTAAGGCGGTACGCAGATGGCTCTTTTGCCCGTGACCCATACCCACGGTAAAGGTGGTGACACACACCTGCATCATTCATGACTGCATCACACACTGCTGGCAGAGCGAAGGATCGCTGGCGTGAGAGGGTCCTCCCGTCTGGCCACCTGGGAGATGCGTGTCAAGCCCTACAGGGCTCTCTGCCGCCTCGACCAAAGCATGTGCAGCACATGTTGCTGCTGATCGTCCACACCCCCTTCCTCCTCTCGTGCCCCCCCCCCCTTCTGTGGTTTTTTGCGTGACAAGAAATCACTGATGCAGCCAATGATGGTCAAACGCCACACATCTGGGCGTCAGCAGCACGCTACTGTATATTCCCCCCCTTTTTTTTCTCTTGTTTTCTTTTTCTCTTCTCGATGGTTGCATCCTGTCCGCCCTGCGATGCCGCGCCAGATCTCTGATGGGCGTTGTATGAATATGCCCGAGACTCCTTTGGCGCCGCGTCGCACGGCACGGGATCGGTATGGCTGTCAAGTCAGTCTTTCCCCTTTTTTTCTTCTCTTCTTTGGTCATCGCGATGCGGTGTGATGCAGTGGCA